TGGGGGGAGGGGAGTGGGTGTGGGGGCGTGTGGGGAGTGGATCGAGAGGAGGAAGCACAGCAGATGGGACCATCCAGTCGTTGCCCCGTGCCTTGTTCTTCACGTATTCGCTCAGCGCCTTTGAGGAGCAAGGGGGGAGAAGGGAAGGGGGAAAGGAGGAGGGGGGGTGTGGGTGTTGGGTCGAGCGGAAATATATGTCAACATAAACCAATCTTTGTCCCGCGCCTTGTTCATCTTCACGTATTCGCTCAGCGCCTGGAGGGGGAAAGGTGCGGGGGGTTTTGAGGGCCGAGGCCGGGTGGAAGGGAAGAAAGCTGCGTCTGAAGCGAGGTTCACGGCTTGTTCATCATCACGCGTTCGATCGGCGCCTGGGGGGTGGGAAAGGTGCGGCGCCTGAGGTTCCTCACGCTCCTTGTTCCTCGTCACGCGTTCGATAGTTAGCGCCTGGGTTTGAGGCGCCTCAAAACTACACGCCTTGTTCCTCGTCACGCGTTCAGTTAGCGCCTGGGGGGGGGGGGGGGAAGGTGCGGCGGGAGGAGGGAGTGGGTGGGGGTTTGGAGGGGGGACGCGGGGGAGGAAAGGGGGAGGGGGGTGGGGAGGGGAGAAGTCGGGTGAAGGCGAAAGAAGCTGTGTTTGAGGTTACTCATGCACGCCTTGTTCATATTCACACGCTAAGATCAGCGCATAGAGGGGGGAAAGGGTGCGCGGGAGGGGGGAGTGGGTGGGGGTTTTGTTGCGGGGGGAAGGGGGGGCAGGGGGGAAGTCGGGTTGAGGGGAAGAAAGCTGTTTTTGAGGCTATTCATGAGTAAAAAAGAGGAGGCTTCCCCATGCACGCTTTGTAACCCCACCTGACTGCTTCCATGCACTCCTCCAGGCTTGTCCCGAGACACCTAAGAGGTTAAGCTAGGCGTTATCATGTGGCATTTTTTGAGAGCCTAAAAATTGGATTGCTAGCTTGCACGCTTCGAGGCTTGTCCCGTGGCACCTAAGAGGCTAAGCTATACATGATCATGTGACATCCCTCCCCGCTGTGAATCGTCCTCATCACCCAGGTTAAACAGCTGAATGTGTTTCTTGAGAATTCTAAAAAAACATATTCACCCTGTGAATCGGCCTCTTCACCCGGGTTAAACAGCACCATCATGAGCCGCCGGTTCCATTTGGTTCACCCGGGGCTCCTTCAAACCACGTGGCATTTCCCTTATTACCGCACCTGCCCCGAATCAGTATTTTATTTTCCCCCGCGACTTGTTGGTCCGATTTGGTCGCCTCGGGACTCGAACTGACGCATCTTCACGTACAATGTCCCTCGTTCCGAGGCTCGTTTCAACGCACATGAAATTCCTCCTTGAGTCGCTGCTTTCATTGCTCGTCTCGCGGACCTGCTTATGGTCAGATGCGGGATATTCTGAACCGTGGATTTGGTCGTGTTATCCCAGCCGTCCATCGCGATCGTTCGATCTAAATTCAGGGAATCGAGAAGCGAAAAAGCTGACGGCATGAAGAAGAGAAATGACTGTTCAGGAAAAGTACTTTCTCGTTATTACCTCAATGTACGCGAATACAATGAATCGTTACATCAACCAATGATGACTCTGGTTCACGCAAACTTTTACTCAGCTGCTTTTCCCTCTCCTGAAAGTGTGACAGTATTCTGGGAATAAACTCTCTAGTATCCTCCAGCGTGTGTGAGTAAGGGAAGAATATCAGAATCTGGGATTGAGCTTATCGTGTGCTGCTGGCTGCATTTTTTATGGGCTGCATCTCTAATTGGGCTGCCCGTTGGCATCTGTATGGTTACTTCCTATTGCCTTTCATATATCGAGGCCATTCATAGGCAATGCTCGTCACACCCCCCCAATACCAGATTACAGATTTGACAGATTCGTCGCACACAACGTGTTGACAATCTTTCGTGCTGCAATCGCAGCAAAATTTCGCGAAACCCATTCCAGCCCATATCGAGGCAGTTTGTATCGAAGCTGCATGCTGCTCGACACAGACGAGGACTCTCCGCGCGGACTGTTCCGCCGCCTCGCGGTGCGCAATATCTCGCTGCTCGACGGGCGCCGGAGAGAGAACTAATTTACATTCCGGGACCCTGCGACAATACATTGCGTTCAGAATCTGCCGCGTCCGATGCAGCGGTGGGCCGGACCAGCGGCGGCCTCAAAGGCTGGTCCGCGAGTTCAGGGCTGCGCGCATCCACACCCTCGTCGCAGACTTCGGCGGCTGACACGGCGGCTCTGACGGCGATTTTTACGGCCGCGCTGAAGCCTATCCCGGCGAACAACCCGAACGTGTGCACGTGGCCCGGCGTGTATTGCTGCACCGGCAGCGCTGTTACCGTGCTAGACCTTTCGTACAACGTCAACACTGTCGAGCACCCACCCACGCCTCGCCTTTGCAACCGTACTGCGCGCGAACCCGGCGGAAAGTTCCCCGCAACCCTCTCCGATTCTATCGGCCAGTTGACGGGTCTCACCGATCTCAATGCGAAGGGTCTCTGGCTTGCGGGCTCAGTCCCGCGATCGTTGTCCCGGCTTACAGAAATCCAGAATCTCGATCTTAGCCATAACTGCTTCGCTGGCCCTCTTCCTGACGCCATTTTTCGCATGCCGGCGCTTATCAGTGTGATAGCCGGCCAAAATTTCTTCACCGGCGGGTTACCACAAGGTCCTGCTGCGTACGCGGCGGCTAAGCTATCGACTATGGATTTCGGGAGTAATAGGCTGTCCGGGCCGATCCCTGCTGCCCTCGCGACTCTGCCGAGCCCTGATATGGCGCTTTATTTGTACTCGAATCGGCTAACCGGGATTATTCCCCCTGCTCTGCTGCAGAGAGTGTTTGCACTTTATTTAAGTCAGAACCGGCTTTCCGGCGACCTGAGCGGGCAGAAAATAATGTCCTATGCTTTTAGCGCAAGCGGGAACAGGCTGACCGGAAACTTCAATTCGATCGGGTTCGGCGAATCAGTGACGGGCATAGACGTTTCGGACAATTTGTTTTCGGGCTCATTCCCGCAGATCGTGTGCCATCGGAGCAACTTAGCAACTAATTTTTCGCATAATCGACTGACAGGAGCCGTTCCAGCAAATTGTTTCAAGTCCGGAAGTTCCTTTCCGAAAGGCCTCTTTCTAAGCCACAACAATTTCTCGGGCAGCTTGCAGCCGTTTTCGAACCTGCCCACGGACATCACCGCTCTGAACCTCGGTTTCAACAAGTTCACAGGGAGCATTCCCCCACGCCTCACCAGTTTACCCCAGCTTCAATCCTTGGACCTCAGGGCAAACGCTTTGACAGGTGAGCTTGACTGGAAAACTGCCGATTCTACCAATTTAGTTGTTAAAACAATATACTGCTAGTTTAGACGCTTAGAACCCACAGTCCCACCCACTCCTCTCTTGTGCGTGTCTTCCGCTGATATTAACCACTCAGAACCAATCATCTGTTTTTTTCCGTTGAGCTTTCCGTTCACTGATCTTACCCACTCTTCTCCTTCTGCTTCCCCTACCCCATCCCCAGTTCTCCATCATTAGACTTCCTCCTGCCTCCCCTCTCCTCATCCCTCATCATCAAGCGTCATCCCTCATCATCAGGTCTCATTCCGCTCTGCTGCAAGGCCGGGCAGGCCCCCTCACCTTCCTCAACCCTAATTCCGTTTCTCACTCCCTCATTCTCTCCCCTCCGCTCCTCACCCCCTCAGGCCCCATCCCAGCCTTCTGCAAGGCCGGGCAGCAACTCACCTTCCTCAGGCTCGCCTACAACGCCCTCTCCGGCCCGCCCACCCCACTCTCCTCCCCCTCCTGCGCCGCCTCCCTCTCCTTCCTCTACCTCTCCTCCAACCGCCTCTCTGGTCCCATCCCCGCTACAGTCAGCTCCTTTACACACCTAAAGCGCCTGCACCTCGACAATAACGCTCTCACGGGAACGATCCCAGCTGGTGTGAGCAAGATGAAACGGCTGCGGGGACTCTGGTTGTCGAATAACAACCTATCAGGTTCCATTCCCGCGGTTTGACCGGCAAGGATACGGCAGGTGCTGCTGGCGGGGAATCAGCTGTCAGGGGCTGTTCCGGCTGCTCTGAGCAAGCTGAAAAAGCACTCGTTCAAACCAGGGAACAGCAATTTGTGTGGGACCCCGCTGCCTGCCTGTGCTTAGAACCATACCTGTTCGTGCATATAATCGTCCCTACTTACATGTACCGGTATATCTACATTTAATTACGGTATATATCACCCTTGTTTGAATGGTCATGCTCTTGAGCAAGATGCAGAGGGGAACCGTCAAGGTAGAGAAAGAGAACCCCCTTACCCTCCTCCCACCCACCGCCTACTTGGTCCAGATGCATTTTCTACTGTATCAAGCAAGACTTGTGCATGCTAGTTGCACGGGAGAAACGTGGCAAATGTACCCTGGACACTGTGCCCTAGTAGACGAAGCACGCCTGGACTTGACTCAGGTTGACTTTGTTGACCACATCACTCAGACGCTGTCTCAATGCTGTACGAGTGATCGATCCTAAGCGGCGTTTCAACCGACACCGGCCTTTCTTCAGAAACCAGCTCCAGGTTGCAGAACCCACTGCCCCAGTACACGAAGCACGCCTGCACTTGACTCGTGTTAAATCGGTTGACCACAGTGCGGCCTGTGCCCGGATCCACCAAGGACCACTCTCCTGTAGGTACGAAGCATGGGTAGAAAGGAGAGATAGTGAGTTGACCTCGTGAAGTGCACTTTAATGCAAGGTCAACATAAAAAGGCACACGCCAATGCAAGCTAAGCTACTCGATCCATCGAAATGAAAGGTGGAGATGAAGCGCTGCATTAAAAAGCACTCACCAGTGCATGGCACTCACCGTTGGGTCTGTCATCTCCCCTCAGCCAGAGCTCCTGCACGTCCGGCTTAACAACTGTATTCTCTCCCTTAATGGATGTGAAGCGCACGTGGGGAGCAGCGGAGGAGAAGGAGTGGACGACTCGGAAGGAGGGATGGACCCTCATACAGGCGAGACTGGAGTTGGGAGTGGAGTGGGGGGGGGGAGGGAAGAGGGGAAAAGATGCTCGTCTCTAAAAGGTGGGGAGATAGTGTGAGAAGCGGAAGTGAAGCGCATGTGGGGAGTGGTGGAGGAGGAGCGGACGGCATGGAAGGAGGAACGCACACGCAGACAGGCGAGGCTGGGATATGGAACGAGGCAGGGAGGCCGAGGGGAGTTGAGAGGGGGAGTTGGTAGTGTGGAAGCAGAGGTATAGAGCATGTGGGGAGCGGCGGAGGGGAAGGAGGAGAAGCGCAGGGGAAGGAGTGAACGGCTCGAAAGGAGGGATGCACACGCAGGCACGCGAGGCTGGGATATGGGGTGGTGGGGTGAGCGAATAAGTGGGTGAGCCAATGAGTGCGCGAGCAAATGAGTGGGCAAGCAAATGAGTGCGCGAGAAATGAGTTGGTGAGCAAATGAAAGGGTAATCGCCGCAATTACCGTGAGAAGCCGCCTGAGCCTGCACCAATAGCAGCAGCGATGATCGCTGACGTCACGTGCAGCTGATTGGGCGTGGATGGGAGCGCTGACGTGGCAGCATCGACTGATGCCGGTGCATCCATAATTGCTGGTCCATCCATCATTGGCCCATCTTGTCTGTCAGTCGATGGATCTTGTTGCTCCTGACCGAGGGTGAGGGACTTGGCATCAGCGGCAGCAGTGGTGGTGGCAGCAGCCCAGGCGGCAGGGATGGGCTGGCCGAGGGAGAAGCAGCGCCGCATGATGAGACCACTGCCGATGTCACCCTGCACTATCATGCGATGACTGCCGCCCGTGCTGTGATCCCTCTGCTCACTGCGAGGGATCAGGGGCACAGGGGGAAGAGGGGCAAGGGGTGGGCAGCATGCAGGAAGGGAGAAGCAGCGCTGCATGATGAGCCCGCTGCCGATGTCTCCCTGAACAATCATGCGATGACTGCCCCCCGTGCTGTGATCCCTCTGCTCACTGCGAGCAGGGAATCAGGAGTATTATGCAGTGCAAAAAGGGCGAAGCGCATTAGCCATGCACTAGGAACACTCACCCCCTTTACATTAACCTCTCCACACTCACCACACCACGAGGTACTGCTCTTGACAGCCTGGCGACCATTACTCGCGCTCCCACTGCTCCCTGACTTGACGAATATCCCCACAGACATAACAGATTGAAAAACCAATCGCCCCATGATCACATCACAGCACTCACCACACCACGTGGTACTGCTCTTGGCAGCCTGGCGACCGGTACTCGCTCTCTGAATACTCCTCATATCCACCCTCCTCGAAACGCGACTCAAGCAGCTCCTGACCTGCGAGAGGAGAGGGGCAGAGCATGGGCGTGGGGGTTGAGCATGGGTGCAGATGAAATAACTGACTTGCTCCAATGCACTCCGAAAACTCTTCAAAGCGCATTGGCACTCGCTCTCTGAGCACTCCTCATATCCACCCTCTTCAAAACGTGACTCCAGAAGCTTCTGGCCTGCACGGGGGAAGGAGGGGGGGGGGGGAGAGGGGAAAATAGAAGTGGGTAAGGAAGAGGGGGAGGGCGTGGAGGGTTGAGAGCATGGATGCGCATACGCCAATCACTCTTGCTAAGACGCTCTCAAAACACTCCTCATACCCACCCTTCTCGAAACGCGGCTCCAGCAGCTCCTGACCTGCGAGAGAGATGGGGGAGAGGCGGATGACTTAGCACGGCTGCAAAGGAGTTGATTCGACTCGCTCTCTGAAAACTCCGCATATCCGTCCTCCTTGATCCGGCCTGCCTGCCCTCTCCCCTCCTCAACCCCTGCGTGCCTGCTTATCTGTGCGCCCCACCTGAATCACCCACCTGAGGGGTAGTGGAAGAGTGAGTCCAGCCGCCCCCCGTGTTTGAGCACCACGTGGCACTGCAGGTCACCCGCTGCCATGTTCATTGCTGCCAGTGCCTCGCCTCCTCCCTCCCTTAGTGCTGCTAGTCCCCACTCTCCTTCCTTCCCTCATTCCTACCCGTGCGCCCCACCTCTGCGCCCCACCCACCCACCTGAGGGGTAGTGGAAGAGCGAGTCGAGCCGGCCCCCATGTTTGAGCACCACGTGGCACTGCAGGTCACCCGCTGCCATGTTCGTTGCTGCCAGAGCCTCGCCTCCTCCGTCCTCCCCATCCTCCTTCGCCCCGTCTGGCAGTATGGGAGCCGCTTCTGCAAGCGAGCGAGAAGAATCAGAGAGGGGAGGAGGGAATGAATTCTGGAAAGGCACTCAGGATCCGCTATATTGGTGTTACTTTTGAGAATTCTCAAAAGTGGCACTCAGGATCCGTCCTCCCATCCTCGTTTGCACAGTCTCGGCACAGGAGCGGTTCTGCAAGTGGGTGGGGGCAAAAGGAACAAAAGGTCAGCAATTTAAGTGTTCTGTTCAGGGTTTGAGGACAGCATCTGAGGACAGCTGCAGCATTTGAGGCGCCTCAAGAATCTTCTCTGGGCTATCTGAGGGTGGTGGTGGTGGTGGCAGGGCAGCACACGAGCAGCAGCAGCAGCAGAGGGCAGCATTCAGGAACCTCCTCTTCTCTGCCACCAGCCTGTCAGCCTCATCCTCATCTTCATCAGCAGAGGGCAGCGGACACTCTACAAACCACCCCTTTCACCTCCCATTCACCCCTCTCATCACCCACCTATGGGTGCCTTCTCTTCTTCCACTGCTGCAGCCACCAGCCTGTCAGCCACAGCAGCAGAGGGCAGCTGGACAGCAATCAATCACCCTGTCTGTACCAACCACCCCATTCACCCTTCACCCATCCCCACCCATCACCCACCCATGAGTGCCTTCTCTTCTGCCACTGCCGCTGCCACCAGCCTGTCTGCCTCCGGAGCAGAGTGCAGAGAGACACCAATCATCCCACAGTCCAACCACCCTATTCACCCCTCACCACACCTCATCCACCCCTAATCCTACCCACCCATCACCCACCCATGAGTGCCTTCTCTTCTTCCACTGCTGCAGCCACCAGCCTGTCTGCCTCATCACTAGAGGGCAGTGGGACAGAGATCACACTCTACCAAACACCTCATCCACCCCTCCACCACCCACCCATCACCCACCCATGAGTGCCTTCTCTTCTTCCACTGCTGCAGCCACCAGCCTGTCCGCATCAGCAGCAGAGGGCAGCGGCACAGCAACCAACCACAATCACCCTGTACCAACCACCCCATTCACGCCTCACCCTTCACCCACCCCCACCCACCACCCACCCATCACCCACCCATGAGTGCCTTCTCTTCCTCCACTGCTGCAGCCACCAGCCTGTCAGCCTCAGCAGCAGAGGGCAACGGGACAGAGATCGCATCACCATCCCACCCTTCAGCTTGCACCTGGAAGGCAGGGGTGTAACAGTTTGAAACATGAACGTTTTGTTTTTTTATGGGGGGGGGGTCAAAATGTAATCTGACTTTTCAAAAAAACATCGAACAGCGCACACAGGCTTCAAGCAACAAAGAAGTGAACCAGAAGAGGCGAATAGACAGATGAAGTAAACAAAACAAACGCACATAGGCACCATCTCCCAGCAGCACACGTGCCACCAGCTTCCGCCGCGGCCGCTTCCAGGAACCTTCCTCGCTTGCCACCTTGACTTCCACCACGGACAGCCCGCCCTCCCCCGTGCCACGTGTCGCCACATAAGTGGTCAGCAGATACTCCCCTGCTCTGTACCCGAACCCATCCCCCTCGTCCTCGAACAGTTGGCCCTTGCTGGCACCTGGGGAAGTGGGATACGACGCAGCGAGTGAGGGGTTTGGTTGGTTGGAAGATCAGAGCATCGACCATCACTGGTGGTGGGGTGGGGCTCGTACTCCCTTGTCCTGTACCCAAACCCATCCCCCTCATCAGGGTCGGTCTTCGCCGGCACCTGTGGGAGTGGGACACGGGGACAAGGGGAGTCGGACAAGGGGAAACAAGGAATAGGATTGGGTGCATGGTTTGAGACGTCTCACAATAGGATTGGGTGCATGGTTTGAGACGTCTCACAATAGGATTGGGTGCATGGTTTGAGACGTCTCACAATAGGATTGGGTGCATGGTTTGAGACGTCTCACAATAGGATTGGGTGCATGGTTTGAGACGTCTCACAATAGGATTGGGTGCATGGTTTGAGACGTCTCACAATAGGATTGGGTGCATGGTTTGAGACGTCTCACAATAGGATTGGGTGCATGGTTTGAGACGTCTCACAATAGGATTGGGTGCATGGTTTGAGACGTCTCACAATAGGATTGGGTGCATGGTTTGAGACGTCTCACAATAGGATTGGGTGCATGGTTTGAGACGTCTCACAATAGGATTGGGTGCATGGTTTGAGACGTCTCACAATAGGATTGGGTGCATGGTTTGAGACGTCTCACAATAGGATTGGGTGCATGGTTTGAGACGTCTCACAATAGGATTGGGTGCATGGTTTGAGACGTCTCACAATAGGATTGGGTGCATGGTTTGAGACGTCTCACAATAGGATTGGGTGCATGGTTTGAGACGTCTCACAATAGGATTGGGTGCATGGTTTGAGACGTCTCACAATAGGATTGGGTGCATGGTTTGAGACGTCTCACAATAGGATTGGGTGCATGGTTTGAGACGTCTCACAATAGGATTGGGTGCATGGTTTGAGACGTCTCACAATAGGATTGGGTGCATGGTTTGAGACGTCTCACAATAGGATTGGGTGCATGGTTTGAGACGTCTCACAATAGGATTGGGTGCATGGTTTGAGACGTCTCACAATAGGATTGGGTGCATGGTTTGAGACGTCTCACAATAGGATTGGGTGCATGGTTTGAGACGTCTCACAATAGGATTGGGTGCATGGTTTGAGACGTCTCACAATAGGATTGGGTGCATGGTTTGAGACGTCTCACAATAGGATTGGGTGCATGGTTTGAGACGTCTCACAATAGGATTGGGTGCATGGTTGTGTAGCAAAAAGGCGATCGTTCGTGGTGGGTCAGAGACTCAGAGGGCTCCCCTGCCCGATACCCAGCAGGTACTCCCCTGCCCGGTACCCATCCCCCTCATCCTCAAAGAGTTGGCCCTCACTGGCACCTGAGTGAGGGAGTGGGATAAGGGGAAGGGAAGAAAGAAGATTATGTGGAAATGTAGAAAGAAGGCGACCTTTGGTGGTGGTCAGACAGGCAGAGGGCAATTACCCCCCTGCCCTGTACCCAAACCCATCCCCCTCATCCTCGAAGAGTTGGCCCTCGCTGGCACCTGCAGGAGGGGATTAAAGTCACAGCAAGCGAGGGGTTGGGTTGGTTGGAAGATCAGAGCATCGACCATCACTGGTGGTGGGGTGGGGCTGGAAATCTCCGACCCTGTACCCAAACTTTTGAGAATTCTGGTGTGACTTTTGAGAATTCTCAAAAGTCACACCGAAATCTCCGACCCTGTACCCAAACCCATCCCCCTCATCCTCGAAGAGTTGACTTTCGCTGGAACCTGAGGAAGTGGGATATGGGGACACAAGGAAGAAGATTAGGTGAGAATGTAGCAAAAAGGCAATCGCCGGTGGTGGTGGGTCAGACCATCAAAGGGTATACTCTCCTGCCCTGTACCCGAATCGACCCCCCTCGTCCTCAAACAACTGGCCATCAGTGGCACCTGAGGAACTGGGAAAACGAGACACAGAGAGTGGCTTGTGAAAACAGCTAAAAAGGCCATCTTTGGTGTAGGGTCAGATGGTCAGAGGCATGGTAATCTCCTTTCTGCCCTGTAACTCAATCCATCCCCCGCGTCCTCGAACGACAACTCACCCTCACCGGCAACTGGAGTAAAAAAGGCCATGGCTGGTGGTAACTGTTGACTCGATTCTCAATGAGGGTGACTAACAACTAGCTAATCGTCTCTCCTGAATCCTGAAAGACGTGTCCTCACCTGATTCGTCGAGGCTGATTAACAGAGTCACCGAATCTTCCCTCCGGAGCTCCTGAGTGTTCTGAGCGACAGGCCCTGTGGGCAAGATGGCGCCTCCTTTCAGAAAGAGAAGCGGGAGGTCCTGTGGGAGTTGTTGCGGTGCAAAGTGGTGTGGAGGCAAGGAAGCGAGCAAGGGACGGATGATTAGCAGCGTGACCGAATCTTCCCTACAGAGCTCCTGAGTGTTCTGAGCGACAGGCCCTGTGGGCAAGATGGCGCCTCCTTGCAGGAAGAGAAGCGGGAGGTCCTGCGGGAGTGGAGTGATAGGAGCAAGGGGAAGGAAAGAGGAGAGTTCATGAATGGCAGTGGCACTAGGTCCTCCCAGCAGAGCACCTGAGTAATCTGTGCGACAGGGCCTGTGGTAAGATGGAGCCTCCTTGCAGGAAGAGAAGGGGGAGGTCCTGAGGGAGTTGTTGCGGTGCAGAGTGGTGTGGGGGAGATGATTAGCAGTCTGACCGAATAGCCCCTCCTCAGAAGCTTATGAGTATTCCCAACAACAGCCCTCTTGAATAGTATGGACTATGGAGCCTCCTTGCTACAATCAAAGGCCCTTCCCAAAGGCACTTCCAATGCCTTTCAATGGAACCTTCGGTTCAGCTGCAGGGTGTTTTTGAGAGATCTAAAAAACACAAGGCTCCTCAATTTTTTAATGGAACCTTCGTACAAGAGGTTTTGGACATTTGCCAAAGGCATCCCTTGCTGGCAATCGGTGATTGGTAGGTGGTGGCCTACCTGGTCGGAATCGCGGAAGTGGAAGCGCCTCCACGTGCCAGGTGGCAGCCTCTGATTGGCTGCTGACGGGTCGGCAAACTTGCTGCGCTCTGTGCTGAGGAGGGGGGGGGGAGGAGGAGGGGGTTGAAGGGAGCGAGTGAGTGAGCGAGTGAGTGAGTGAGTGAGTGAGTGAGTGAGTGAGTGACTAGTGTATGGGGGAGCCATGGGTGGGGCCAAGAGATGGTGCGAGTGGTGCGTGAGAGTAGTGGTATATTTGAGAGGGGTGAGAGAGCTCTAAATGAATAAAGTACTGAGTGCATTTTCTGCGTTCGTGCGAATGTCTGTTTCGTGAGCTTGTGCATTCTGTGTGCTTTGTTTGATTTTATGTAATTTGCGCACTTGCGCACAGGACAGAAGGATTGGGGGGTAGGGGAGCGCAAAAGGGGATCAGGAGCGCGCAGGAGTGTGGTGTTGGGGGAGATTCTCACAATGTCATGACGAGCAGAGGGCCCAGCAGGAACTGGTCTTCCACTGCCCGCAGTGCTGGGTTGGATGGGTCTGCAGGGGCGCACAGGGGGGCACAGGGGGGCACAGGGGTGCACAGGGGTGCACAGGGGTGCACAGGGGGGCACAGGGGTGCACAGGGGTGCACAGGGGTGCACAGGGGTGCACAGGGGTGCACAGGGGTGCACAGAGGACACAGGGGGACACAGGCAGGCAGGAGAGATGCTTCTTTAGGTGCTTCTTTAGGTGAAGTCCCAACGAAGAAGAGCAGTCACAGGGCGAGGCGAGCAAAGGGCCAGCAGGAACTGATCTTCCACTGCCCGCAGTGCTGGGTTGGATGGGTCTGATGGGAGGCGAGGGCGCACAAGGGGGCACAGGCAGTCAGGAGACATGTATTTTAGGCCCCTGCTTAGGAAAATAATGTCAGGCCCAGCAGGAACTGATCTTCCACTGCGCGCAGCGCTGGGTTGGAGGGGTCCGAGCGGGAGAGAGGGGCGGACATGGGGACAGAGGTAGGCAGGAGACATGCATTTTGAAGCCACATTCAAGAAAGACGTTTGAAAGGCGAGCAGAAGAAGCTGGTGTATGACAGCTCCTGCCCGCCTCTATATTAGAGTCTGTCACTTTGAGAACTTTCAAAGCTAAACAGCTACTTGCAGTGCTAAACTGACGCACAGGTGGAGGTGATGGGAGGGGAGAGATGACGGGGCTGTTAAAAGAGTCGTGATGATAGAAGAGTGTGTAGAGGTGCGGCAGCAAGCGGTATGGTAGACAGTGGAACTCGTAAGAGCAGGCAAAACAGACACACCAGCGAAAGCGAGGCGGTATGTCTGACAAAGCAAACGCACCAGCAAAAGCGAGGGGTGAAATGACAGGGCTGCCGGCGTTGTCGTGGTGATAGAAGAGTGTGTAGAGGTGCGGCAGCAGACAGTACTGCTTATGACTGAACCAGCGGTTTACTAAATGAACGCACCCGTGAAAGCGAGGGGTGAGATGACAGGGCTGCCGGAGTTGTCATGGTGATAGAAGAGTGTGTAGAGGTGCGGCAGCAGGCGCTTATGATTGAAAAAAACAGGACACACCAGCAAAGGCGAGCGGCGAGATGATGGGGCTGCCGGAGTTGTCATGATGGTAGAAGAGTGTGTAGAGGTGTGGCAGCAGGCGGTAGCGACGCTCTATGGCCTTCCGACACACCCCCTCACACTGGTGGGGACGTGTGGGAGAGAGAGAGAGAGAGAGGAAAAGGAAGGGGGAAAATTTGAGCTACTGGTTTGTTCCAGCAAGTGGCAAGCGTTGTCACCCAAGGTGTGTGTATCGGGTTCTTTTCGAACTCAGCTCGTTCATTTCTTGGCGCACGCTGTGCTTGCCACAACACAGTGCAATAACGATCCACCAACCATGCCCCACCTCCAGCAATCAAGCCCACTTCCTTTTGCTCTCAAAGCTTCTCCAAACACTCATGGTACAGCTCTAAGTGCCCTCGGGAGAAAGGGGAAAAAAAACCCAATACCCAGGCCATTACACCCCATTTGCAAAAAATCTGCACTCCCATCCCCATCCCCCCCTCCCCTCCCATTGTTCTAATCAGTTCCCCAAATACCCATGGTTCAGCGTCCTTGGTCCCTTTCACTGAGTGCCCTTCAAAATAAAGGGCAGAATAACCCCAAATCCCATCCCACTACACCCCATTTGCAAAAATCTGCTTTCCCATCCCCATCCCTCCATCCTCCCGTTCCTCTCGCTCACCGCTTCGCCAAACACCCATGGTTCGGCGTCCTTGGTCCCTTTCTCCGAGTGCCCTCGGGAGAAGGGCAGCAGAGCCCCAATGCCCATCCACCGTGCAAACAACCGAGGAGTGGCGTTCAAGGCGAACCCGCCAATATCTGGCCCGTTCAGAGGCTGGCCGCTCAGAGCCTGAAGGGGTGAGAAAAAGGGAGGGGGGGAAGGGGGGTGGGAGGAGCGGGGAAGGGAGAAATGGTACATGGTGGTGAGAAGGGCAGCAGAGCCCCAATGCCCATCCACCGAGCAAACAGCCGCGGAGTGGCGTTGAGAGCAAAGCCTCCGATATCAGGCCCGTTCAGAGGCTGGCCGCTCAGAGCCTGGAAAGGAAGTAATAGGGGAGTGGGGAGGGGTACATGGTGGTGAGAAGGGCAGCATCGCACCGATGCCCATCCACCGAGCGAACAGCTGTGGAGTGGCGTTCAGAGCAATCCGCCGATGCTAGGCCCGTTCAGAGGCTGGCCGCTCAGAGCCTGGGGGGTTGTTTGCGTGCAATAAGGAAGGGAGGGTGGAGGGTGGAGGGGATGGGACGGCGTTCGAGGATATGGCACTCCAAGGAGGACCCGTCGAAGTTGGAGCGTCACAGATTGGAGCAACGTGTGTACACGATACCTGACAACAAGTATCCCCATGCCGAACAAGGTCAGCAGGCTGTCAGATGCGGAGATTTACTGCCTATCATCAAGACCAGGTGGAGTTTTTTAGCTTTCTATATATATGTATATGTATATGTATATGTATATGTATATGTATATGTATATGTATATGTATATGTATATGTATATGTATATGTATATGTATATGTATATGTATATGTATATGTATATGTATATATATATATAATCGGTGAGTACAACACCAAGAGAGATGGTGGTCGGTTTTGTGAGTTTTTCCACGTCATTTTCAAGCGTCATTTGCATACCATACCGTACCATGTTAAGAGCCATGGGCACGCTCATATGGAGGTACTCCCAGGTGGCCAGGTTGTCGCCCGTCCACGAGGCAGCATAGCGCTGGCTGCCAATGAACCTTGATGCCACGTCCCCAACCATACGACACCGCACCACACCGCACCGTACCATATTAAGAGCCATGGGCACGCTCATGTGCAGGTACTCCCAAGTCGCCAGGTTGTCTCCCGTCCACGACGCAGCATATCGCTGGCTGCCGATAAACCACGTCGCTACGTCCCCAACCATACTGCACCGTACCACACCGTACCATGTTGAGCGCCACGGGCACGCTCATATGCAGATACTCCCAGGTGGCCAGATTGTTGCCCGTTCACCAGGCAGCATAGCGCTGGCTGCCCATGAATCCCGATGCCACGTCCCCAACCATACGACACCGCACCACACCATACCTCACCACACCGTACTGTACCATGTTAAGCGCCATGGGCACGCTCATATGGAGGTACTCCCAGGTGGCCAGGTTGTCGCCAGTCCACGAGGCAGCACAGCGCTGGCTGCCAATGAACCCCGCCCGGGTCAGCACAAACGGCCGCTTGTCGGGAAGGGCCTTCTCTAAACCCTCGCTGGTTGCTCGAGCCATGAGCATGCCGTACACCTGGGAGGGAGGGAGATGGGAAGAAACGAGGAGAGATGAGAGAAAAGGAGAGGCAGGCATAGCGCTGGCTGCCCGTCAGCACAAACGGGCGCTTGTCGTGAAGGGCCTTCTCAAGACCCTCACTGGTGGCTCGAGCCATGAGCATGCCGTACACCTGGGAGGGAGGGAGCAAGGGAGGAATATGGAAACACACACAACGGGCGCTTGTCGGGAAGGGCCTTCTCAAGACCCTCGCTGGTTGCTCGAGCCATGAGCATGCCGTACACCTGGGAGGGAGATGGGAAGAAACGGGTACAAAGAGGGTAGGAAAATGCCAATTCCACCACATGGGAGGGCGGGAAGAGGTTATTCCCCTCTTCAGGCAAGGCACAATAAAACGAGAAGCTCACAACAAAATGGCACAGTACAATACACTTCTGCTACGCCATAGATTGGCAACCTGGTAACTCACGTTGTGGTAGTGCAGGTGATTCTGAGTGCCACCCATGTCGTCGTCCCCCCTGTGGATGTTGTCGTCTGGCATGGTTTTATTCACAGCCTGGTGTGCAAGAGGGAGGAGATACGGGGAAAGAAAGTGCATAAACCATTATGGCATTACTAGCACAGACGCTTGTCGTTGTCCTTTTTGTGAATGTTGTCGTTTCGCATGGTCTTGTTGACCGCCTGGCACGTGAGGGGAGGAGGGAGGGGGAATGAAGGCGAATACACGCACAGACAGAGAGACTCAGACACAGACTCAGATTGACAGACATACAGATGCACTCCCAGCATGCACGCCCACCATGCGCTCCCTTCCACTCAACTCACCCGGAACACAGTGGGCTCATTCATGTCGTTCCAGATGCCATCCACCCCCTCCTTTGCAAACTCGGCCACCATGTCTCGCCACCACTCCCTGGCTCGCTGCATCGTGTAGTCGGGGAACTTGCAGGGGCCGGGCCACACGTCGCCTGAGGGAAGTGCATTGTGCAGCAGGGGAGGGAGGATAGAAAGTGGCACTTGAAAAGTCTGGCCCATGACTCAATGTCTTGCCACCACTTCCGCGCTCGCTGCATCGTGTAGTCGGGGAACTTGCAGGGGCCGGGCCACACGTCACCTGCATGCTCAACAGGAGAAAGTGGAAGAAAGGGAGGATTTAGAGAAGGCTATGTCTCTGCCACCATGTCCCCCCACCACTCCCTCACTCGCTGTATCGTGTAGTCGGGGAACTTGCAGGGGCCGGGCCACACGTCGCCTGTGTGTGCCAACCCAAGGGAGAAAGAGGAAGAAAGGGCGGACCCGATTAGAGAAAGAAGGAAGGAGAGGAAGCATAACAAGTAGGTAACTCTGCCACCATGTCCTCTCACCACTCCCTGGCTCGCTGCATCGTGTAGTCAGGGAACTTGCAGGGGCCCGGCCACACGTCACCTGGGTGTGGGGAAAGAGGAGGGGTAGTGGAGCTTTGAGTTCCCTTACAGAAACAAAGACGGTTTCTTCTAAGAATTCTTCGCCATGTCCCATTGTCCTGCCACCATTCTCTCGCTCGCTGCATGGTGTGGTCGGGGAACTTGCAGGGGCCTGGCCACACATCACCTGTGTGCAGTGCCGCATGGGTGGGAGGGACCAATAGTGGTTGTGAAAATTCCTGCTCTCTCCCTTGTCTCATTGTCTCGCAACCACTCTCTCGCTCGCTGCATCGTGTAGTCGGGAAACTTGCAGGGGCCTGGCCACACATCACCTGTGTGCTCAACGGGAGAAAGAGGAAGAAAGGGAGGAATTAGAGAAGGATATCTCTCCACCACCATGCTTCCCCACGCCACCACCCACTCGCTCGCTGCATCGTGTAATTGGGGAACCCGAACGGGCCCGGCTACACATCACCTGTGTGCAAGGCAGCATGAGTGTGCCCCATGGGAGAATATGAGGAAGAATGGCAAGCACACCCACCCATCCATGGTCAAGCACACTCACCCACAAAACGGCTTGCCCTCTGCATTGCGAATCCACACATCAGCCGCATCACCGGACTACACCGGACTGTACCCCTGCTCCTCCTTGATCCCCGGGTCCAGCATCCAGATGGCCTTAAAGCCCTCCTTGTTCAAGAACCGCGCAAGCTGTTGAGTGCGCACTAGGCTAAGCACACTTACCCACACACACATGTGTACAAACGAGCACACACACTCACATGCACACACACACATGTACAAATAGCCACACCCACCCACGAATGGTTTTCCCTCCGCGTTAAGAATCCACACATCAGCCGCATCACCGGACTCCACCGGACCGTACCCCTGCTCCTCTTTAATCCCCGGGTCTAGCATCCAAATGGACTTAAAGCCCGCCTTGTTCAAGAACCGCGCCACGCCCAACCATCCTCCTGAGTCCTGGCACTCACGGGTCTGCACCAATCTAAGTATGCGCGCACACCAATTGAAGTCCGCATAGCCAGCAGGAAACATACCAACCCACCCACACCACACACTCACCCATCCACTCCACAGGCCACAGGGTGACACACACTCACTCACCTACGAACGGCTTGCCCTCTCCATTAAGAATCCACACGTCAGCCGCGTCACCGGACTCAACCAGGCCGTACCCCTTCTCCTCCTTGATCCCCGGGTCCAGCATCCAGATAGCCTTAAAGCCCGCCTCATTCAAGAACCGCGCCAGCCCGAGCGGGTCGGGGTAGGTGACTGGATCAAAGGTGAAGCTCTTGTAGCCGTCCATGTAGTCTATGTCCATCCACATAACATCACATGGAATCTTTTTTTCACGGAAAGTCTTTGCCACCTGTGCGGAAGTGCAGGACAGACCGACAGGCACACAGCAAAGAAATAGGGGTGAATGTGACCGGGTCGAAGGTGAAGCTCCTGTAGCCGTCCATGTAGTCAATGTCCATCCACATGACGTCACATGGGATTCTCTTTTCCCTGAAGGTTCTGGCAACCTGCGAAAGAGCATCACAGACAAAGGGCAGTTGGGTGGGGTTGGGTTGGTTGACCGGATCGAAGGTGAAGCTCTTATAGCCGTCCATGTAATCTATGTCCATCCACACGACGTCACATGGGATCCTCTTGTCTCGGAAGGTCCTCGCTACCTGTGTGCACGAAAAGGACACACAGACAGGCACACAGCAAAGCAATAGGGTTGAAGCTGAGTGGGTCAAAGGTGCCTGCAGCCGTCCATGTAGTCAATGTCCATCCACATGACGTCACACGGGATCTTCTTTTCCCTGAAGGTCCTTGCCACCTGTGTGCAAAGGCAGAACACGCACACAGGCAAGAAGTAGAGTGGCAGGGGGAAGTGGGGGCTAGGTGAGCGGGTCGAAGGTGAAGCTCCTGTAGCCGTCCATGTAGTCTATATCCATCCACATCACGTCACACGGGATCTTATTTTCTCTGAACGTCCTTGCCACCTGCACGCAAGAGTGCGCAGGTGAAGAGTGTGAAGGGATGGGAGGTGGGGGGGGTGGGATGGGGTGAGGGGTAGTTGAGCGGGTCAAAGGTGAAGCTCTTATAGCCGTCCATGTAGTCTATGTCCATCCACATGACGTCACACGGGATGCTCTTGTCTCGAAAGGTCCTTGCTACCTGTGCGCAAGAGCAGGACAGGGTCAGGCAGAGAATAGAATAAGGGGGTGGGTGGGGAAGCAAGGAGAACAGGTCGACGGAGAAACTCTTGTAATACATGAATAGAAGCTATCAATTCATGTAGTCGATTAATAGCTCCAATAGTGATCCATCCCACATCCATGTGTCCCACCTTCTTTCGCCACTCCTCACCACTCCTCACCGCTCCTCACCTCTTCCACCCTGGCAGCAGACTCGTAACTGAAGCGGCACTGCTGGTAACCCAGCACCCAGCGCGCAGGGAGAGGGAGGGGGCCTGGGAGGAGGGATGGTTTGGCAGGAATGAACAGGAAAACGGAGAGAGGGAAAAACACTTGAGCCACCTTGGTTTGTTCCTACAGCCTAGAGGCATATAGTGCGGAGCCACTTCTTGATGTTTTTGGAGACTGGGGCGCCTCAGACGTAGAGGCGCTTACAACAAACAAGTTTGACTCCCTTGTCTTGATGGGTTTGAGGACAGGCAGACAGTCACCGATGGCCTTGAGGAGCTGCAAAGGTGTGAAGGAAAGTCGGCGGTGGGGCCGAAGAGAAACACAGAAACTTATACCTCAAGCCTATCACACAGCACAGCCCCTCACCCGGTCGGCCAATGCCTCTGGCCTGTTTAATCAGCCAAATCTAACTCACCAATGGCCTTGGCCAGGAGCTGCAGGAAGTGTGTGTGAGGGAGAGGCGACGGCTCAAAACGAACACACAGACTTGTACCTCGACGGATTACAGACAGACTACAGTACACCCCCCTGCTCTCCCCTCCCCCGCACTCACCAATGGCCTTGGCGAGGAGCTGCAGGAGGTGCGAGGGGGAGGCAGTGGGGCCGAAAAGGATGAGGGGGAAGGGCGCCGATGCAGTGAAGCAGAGGGTGGGCGCATGTCTTAGGTCCACCTGCAGGGCGGAGAGGCGTCGTGGAGGGAGGGACGAGTGAGGGATGGAGGGAGGGAGGATGGGAGAGGCCAAAGAGGATGAGGGGGAAGGGAGCAGACTCAATGAAGCAGAGGGTGGGCGCAGCAGCCCTTAGCTCGACCTGCAGCAGGTGGAACGGTATCACAAGGAGATGGGACGAAGACGCTGAGTGAGAAGGCACCAAGGTCCAAACGAGTTCACCAGAACAAGTTCATCGTCCAGCCAGGCTCACCTCGCAGCGCCGGGTGGTGTCGGCCAGGAAGCCGAGGCAGCGGCCGTCCGGAAGCAGGGAGAAGACCCAGGGATGGGACATGTAGAGGGAGGGCGTGCTGCCTGCCTGCTGCCACCCCAATCAACTGCCATGCTTATCCAATGATCCCACCACCTGCGGCATGCCAACCTTAGTCTGCCCTGCTCCATCAGCAAACAAGGAACCTATCAGCACCCCACGTACTGCCTTCCTCACCTCGCAGCGCCGGGTGGTGTCGGCCAGGAAGCCGAGGCAGCGGCCGTCCGGCAGCAGGGAGAAGACCCAGGGATGCGACATGTAGAGCGAGGGCGTGCTGCCGTTGAAGCCCCAGCAGTCCGTGTTCCATGTGAAGATCTGGAAAGGGAAGCGGAGGAGAGGAGGGAGGTTGGGTGGAATACTCTTGACTAGAGTTGACTCAGTAGACTGTCATTGAAGCTCAGCAGTCTGTGTTACAGGCGAATATCTGGTTGCAGGGAGGGGTGTGTGCATGCGGGGTAACCTTGACTAGAGTTGAAGCATTCAACTGCGTGGGATCTCCTGTCAGCATAAAGAGTCGAGAACGAAGCTGAAAAGAGCATTCCGCAAGTAGCGAGAGAGGGAGCACATGCAACAGCAGCAGTTGAAGCAGCGACAGCGACAGCAGCAGCAGCAGCAGCAGAAGCAGACGCAGCGCCATCACATATACCACCAGCACCAGCATCAAGCAGCCGCAGCAACATCACCAGCACCCCACGTACCCGTTTCTTGCTCCTCTCAAGAGGTCCTCCCACCTCCCCAGTTCCATAGAAGGACGACCCCTCCGGTAGCTGCCAGGGAGGGGTGATGAGTCATAGGATGGATGATAATTAAAAACAGGACGCAAGGAATTCATTGCGAGTGAGGCGCCTCCACAGCCAGGGAGGGTTGAAAAATCCAGAAGGCAGGGAGGGAAGGCATTGTGAGGCTCCTCTAGATTAACTGACGGGGAGGGAGGGGGTGCTGGCTCCAGGAGGAAAATATGGCACAGTGAGGAGGAGGAACACACGCATGTAGACCTGAATGAGGCGAAACAGATGGAATGGACATGAAATCAGTATTCCTATTCAAACGGTCGAATTCACGAACCTGGATGGTAACCACTTGCTGGTCGTTTCGCGAACTGAATTCCACAGAAACAGCAACCCCTGCAAGCACGTCCTCGATTGAGAGTGCCTCGTTTCCCGAACCACCGCCTCCTAGTCGCTGCTCCCTGGCTGGTGGGTCTGCGAATGAGAGAGACGGAAAGGCCGCCGCCTTCCGAGAAGCTTCGTCCGCGTCCAGACGAATGATCCCCTCAGTTACTATGGGAGTCACGACTATTTTATTGCTGCTGCTGGTGTTATCCGTGGAATCCGGCGGAACAGCGGAATTCAACGATCCTGTCATTTTCGCGGATCGTGCGCTTTCGCTAGTAACTGCTCCGGGCTTATTCACAGAAAAAGACCTGGAATCTGCACCCGAACCACTAGCTCGCGTGCAAATCCCTTTCCTCCGCGCCCGTCCTTCCCGCGCGTGGGCCTGTCTATTGGCGCAAGGAAATGCGTCAATTGAAGTCCCTGAAATGTGAAGGAAAGGCTGGAAAAGGGGAGGTGAGAAGGCAGCAGTGATCATGGCAGCACATTTTCCTCCATGGGGCAGAAACGAACATACAATTAAAACTTAAAGGGCATAATTTAACATTTTATATTTCCTGACATGTCGATGTAGTATAATGGTCAGTATCTCCGCCTGTCACGCGGAAGATCCGGGTTCGATCCCCGGCATCGGCGACTCCCTTTGTCACAGTGAATTTTTGACTTTTCCCTCACTGGACCGTGATTTCCCTACGTTTATCTGAGTGATTCACCGCACTAGACCGTGGATTTCTGTGACGGAAGCAAATCTCAACTCACCGCACCGCAGTGCGCCGCATTTAACGATTTACCCGTCAACCAAACATTCCCTTACACGTCCAGCCTAGACAGGCGAGGTCAATCACTCATTAGGCATGGCATGGCGCTCACCAATTCATCCGTCGTTCATTGTTGCTCCCAGTTTCTAGGTGCTTTGTGAGTTGCAGAAGCCTCAATGTAGCGCGGTTTGAAGTCAGTCTAGTAGTCTGGTTCGGAATTATGGGGTTTGATGACGCGTTTCAGGTTATAGGGTTTGTGGGAGGCTGCATGTTTCCGCTGTCCACAGCGGCTCAGACGTACAAGGTTATTAGGACCAAATCAGCCACCGATATAAGCTACGCCTGGTGAGTTCGCAAATGCGATGATTGACGCGTTCTTGTCGAAATCCCCGGTACCATTTCGATTGTGTTTGGCTTGTGAGCATGCTGTCATCATGATTTCTTTTCTTTTCTATTCTATTTTGGCGAAAGGATTTCTGGTAATTACTATTGTCTGCTGCTCGCCATTTGAAGGTAGGTCAACACGCGTGCGAAACATGACATTCATCTTCGACATTCTGTGCTCAAGTCGGTCCTCGTCCTCCCTTCTCCTTGCCTATGTTTCCCTGCTCTGAATCCACCTTGCGCAGGCAATTCATTTTTGCCCTCGCACATCTTCTCTACCTCGTTTATTCCATTCATTTCGGCTTATGGGTCATTTACATCCCTCAATCCGTGGAGATTGCACTCTTAATCTTCATGATTGCTGCCAAAGTGTATTTTGACAATTTCGGACCCAGGAGCAAGCTCACACATGCCACCGCGAAGAGTGCGTCCACCACAGGTGAGTCGACCATGTCTTGCATTTCATACCGTAGGATATCACTTCTGTGCGTGTTTGTGCTCGACCATGATAATTCATATTCTGGCTGACGTTCACCTGATTTGTGACTTGCATACTCCTACCCCCCACCTTTCATCACTCCCCGCCCTTTACTTCGTGCCATAAGTACCAGCCCCACCCTTCTCATCATTCCCTTCACCCTCGCCTCCCCCTCCACCCCCTTCCCCCCTCCCCCTCCCCCTCCCTCTGCAATTTATCCGTCATGCTTGTTCTTGGCAGCCATGTTGAGTGTTGGACAAGTACCGGATGACAATTGATCCTCAGCTCTGTACAAATTCCACACCGCATTCTTTGTGGGTCTACAACTTCTAGACCCTTTATACCTATTATTTGGATGTTTTTTCAAGGTGATTGAATGACAGTAAATTGTTATTGTTCAAATGTCAACGAGGGTATTGTTCTGTCACACTTCCTAAATAAGCAGGTTTAGACAAGTTTTGCTCAATCGTGAATAAGAGGCATTTATGACTGGGTGTAGCACTGACAAGACGCACATTGCGGCCTGACGCGGTGGTGATGATGCTGACGCGACATAAAAACTTCCGTAAGAGTTGTTGAGCTTCGCGAAGGTCGCCGACGTGGCGAAACTTCTCCACTACGGCATCGCTGGTTGCACGAAACAGAGATCTGCCCGCCACGGCGAAGTTGTTCCAGAAAGTGACCGTTCAATCCTTCTCCCATCCCATCCAACCAAACCCAGGTTCGGATATATCCACTGACGGAGCCACGAAAGGTTTGAAACGTTCAGTGCTTCCGCCAGTCCATTTCCACTTTGTGTAGCTCCAGGCACTTTTGCTAGGGTTTGTCATCGTCGTCTTACTCCAGATTCAGTAGCCCACACACCACCCTTAAGCTTCAAAGGCGCATCATCCATCCTTCGTTCATGTCCGATCTAGAACTCGAGGTTCCTGGGGCCTTCGGTACGTTCATAGTCGTTGCTGTCGTTCGGCTTAGCGTCTGTCCATTTTTGTTCTGTTGTAGACACTGTTTTGACCGTTCCTGAACTTGCTTGCAGACCCGTTTGCTGACGCGAATGCTGCTGATGATCCTGGAGCCGGAACTAAGGATTACGTCCATATCCGTATCCAGCAACGGAATGGTCGTAAGAGCCTGACAACTGTTCAAGGCCTGAATAAAGAATTCAATTACAACAAGATATTGAAGGATTTCAAGAAGGTAAGCCTTCGTTGTTTGAAGATTGTGATTGGGTGGTTTCAAGTAAGTCGATGGCTAAGCCGATGGGATTTCTTTTTTTCTCTCTTTTTTTTCAGGAATTCTGCTGCAACGGAACCGTCGTTCAAGACATCGAACTTGGTCAGGTTGGTATATAGCCCGTCCTCACGATTCCATTGGATCCTTTCCCGGTTCTCTAACCTTTTCGCTCTTGTTATTACAGGTCATTCAGCTTCAGGGCGACCAGCGGAAGAACGTTTCGGCGTTCCTCATTCAGGCTGGTATTGCGAAGAAGGACCTCATAAAGATGCATGGTTTCTAAGCGTTCATGATGAGATGAGTGGCGTGCATGTTCCCTTGCAGATGGGCCTACCAGCTCTTAGGGGTAGGCTGTGTCGGTGCTGGCTAGAATAGACATGAGATGGAGATGCAGTGCGGATTGGGAAGATTTGACCATATACAACCTTGTGTATCGATTAGATATCCTTGTCTAAGGTACTTGGCTTGCTGACTGCTCTCACATCTCCTCTTGTTTGTTGCTGACAGAATTCAAAAACAAAAACCTCACCAGAGGTTGTCAATTTATAAGTCCTAGGGTACCGGTACATTTTGGGTATATCTTCTGGTTACGGTAATCTTGTTAACTATGGATACAGGAGCTTGTGGCACTTGGAACTTGCCACACACTTTGGCACGCACTTGGCAGGAGTTTAGATGACTATAATGGGGCTCATACCTCACAGGTTTGACCTGTGAATGTGACGGGGAGAGCCCTAAAGGCCTTAGAGCGTACCGTAATACCCCGGATATAAGCGCACCTGCGCTTATAATAAAACATTGTTTTTATAGGGGGTGCGCTTATAATTGAGTCAGATTTATAAGCGCATGCGCTTGTATAAATGATAAAATGAAAATCAATTTTAAACACACCATTGTGAAGCTCTCAATAAGGCGAATTCAATCGACTATGCACCAAGTGGGATCGTGCATGGTTTTCAGGCAGAAAGCGCAGCGGTTCGGTTTCCCACCGCACAATGTTGTCTGGAAACATCGAATGTGACAGCCGTGACGAGGATCTTGCCGTGCGGCCCAATCAGAGCCGCAGGCGCTGCGTGGCAAGTGCATTCGGCCAGAACCATCTCGAAAGTTCGGCAAGATTCCCTGCCAGCGCAGCGTAGATGCTGCCACGCAGGCGCCTCAACGGGAGTAGGCGGGGGTTTCCTGCCTGTCATCGACGAGGAACCCGAGCCGCCACGCAGCAGGGGTCACCGTCGTTGCCCATTTGTTCACCCTCTTCTCTAGTTTTTTCATTCAGTTTCTTGTCAACCCCGCCTGGCAGGCAGGGCCCAAAATATCAGGGTAAAACACCCTGATTACCCTGGGGGCGGGCCGCTTTTTCAGGATTACCCTGACGAAATCAGGATTGCGCTATAGTTACCCTTCTCTTAAAAGTGCATGTTTTTTTTTACCCTGATAGGTTTTTAGCTTACCCTGGCGGAATCAGGGTTGGGTGTAGACTACCCTGTTACCGAATATTTTCTAACGCGAACCTGACTATAGTCCGCGTGGTGACAAAACGTACAACACCCCCACAAACACCCGTTGTCGCTCGTGCCCACGCGCACGGAAACTTGCTGCGTACTTGGCATCACGCCAAGAATCCGCATTGGTTGTTTCTGCCGCAGGGCTGCCACCAATGATTGCACCTCGTCAGTTTTCGCCACGCCCACCGCCATCACAGCAGAATTGGCTGTCAAGGACAGCTTCAAGCTGTTCTTGACAGCCATTTGCAGCCTCAGTGCTGCCTTGCTGGCCATCACAGGGCCCGCCCCGTGGAACATACTGCCCTGTCGAGGCTGCCAGAGGCGCCTTTGTCAGATTACAATTGTATCTCTAGGCTACAGTAGGGTCACTCCTTAGTGAGTACAACACTTTAGGGTTAGGTTTCCCCTACTTGTACTCACCTCTTGCCTAGTCCAATCCATCATTCCTAGTTGTATTCTTGACATGTTATCAGAGTAGGAACCGTTCCTACATGGGCCCACCGTTCCGCCTTGTGGTAGCGCCACGCCCTACACAGTAGCCAGCGCGCTGGCGCCCCTAGCTCTCACTGTCGCGACCCTTGCAGCCCGTGCGCTGCCCCTGCGACCGCGCTGCCCCTGCAGCCGTGCTCGCCCCTACGACCGTGCTGCCCCTTGCAGCCGTGCTCGCCCCTGCTACCGTGCTGCCCCTTGCAGCCGTGCTAGCCCCTGCTACCGTGCTGCCCCTGCAGCCGCGCCTGCCCCTGCAGCCGCGCCTTGACACCCTTCTCTACGAGGGGGTCTCTCGCTTGGCCCTCATTCTCAACCATTGAGGCAGTGGGGGTGCCACTGAGTAGGTGTGTTGTGCATGCATGTGTTGCGTGCGTGGATTTCAAGGACTGTTTATGTGCAACTTGAA